TTCATGTCTAAATCCTATTAAGGTGTGTTACCAAACACCTCAGTGACACAATCCGATGTATTTCGGTGGGCCTCATTAAAAAAAAAAATTTAAAAAAAATGAAAATAATACTGACCTTACCTTAGATTATCGTGGTCTACGATCAGATCAGGATCGGACACCACATAGAGATACATGCCGTGTCCAATTATTTCCAGCACAGAGAAATCCTGCATAGCATGAAAAATGCGCCAAATAAAACTGTAACTTACATCATCGATCTCCGGAAATTAGGAGCATAACCGCAAGCCAAAGAAATTGGCAGCGACAGTTCGAGCATTGTCATATCGTTGCAGTACTTTCCGCCGTCCCCATAACCTCTTAACAATCATCAATACGCTCGACACCGATCCTGGTAAAAGATACTTCGCACATTTTTAACTCGTGATAAAATCACAGCACCCTCAAAAAGCATCTCACAAATCGCTTAAACAAAAATAGGTAAAAAGGAAAGAAGATTGTCGAGCGAACCATCGTTGATTATAAGGATCGTATGTTTTGAGGGTTTCGATAGCCACCTTCTTTAAACTATCATTAACCAATGGTAGAACACAAGCAACTGAGCAAGCCCGAAAGATCGCCACCATTCAAAGGCGCAATCTGCCACCCAATAAAAAAAAATCACGATTAGACAAATTTTTAGTAGAAAAGGGCAGAGAAAAGCAAAAGCGACTCGCGCGCAACCGCGGCTTCGCCTTTCTGAGCGGGAGGATGGCGCGAATGTTCATCCCGCGGCAGGTGACGACAATATTAGAATAAAGGGGAAATTTACATACCTACCAACACAGATCTTATGTATTTACAAATCTAACAATCAAATTTTAATATTACACCTATAACATGTTGGTGTCGTGAAAAGTTATACTTTACTTTTAAAAACATTATAATTATGAATGCTCTTAATGTCTATTAAATATTTGTGTGGTATGCAAATAAATATTTTTGTTTAGTTGTTAGGTATGTGTTAGGTATGGCTCGTATATTATATAAGGGACAGATTTTGGAGCGGAGCGAAAGATTCTGTCCAAATCGGGGGAGATTCCTAATGTGGGTTGGGGGTGAGGTGCGGAGGTAAATTTGTAATTATATATTGTACTCTAAGGTTTTATAGGATTATAAATAGATATATATGTAACCCTATGTCTTATCTCATATTTCGTATCATATACTCTTTTTCTATATTAGTGGAAAAGTCACCGCTTTGCTCCCGATGACGTAGGCATCTTCGCCGAACCTCGTTAAATCTCTGTGTTCTTTTGGATTTGTGTTCATTCATGTTTTTCTTTGCCCTAATTACTCAACAAGTGATATCAGATATACAGAATATGTGAAAATATATAGAGTTACATACATGCCTATTTATAACCCTAAAAAACCTGAAGTATAATATGTAATTAACAAATTATTCGTGTACCTCACCCCCAACCCAAATAAGAAAGCTCCCCTAATTTGAGCAAAATCTTCTGATCTGCTCCAGCATCTATCTCTTATATGGTATATGAGTCATACCTAACAAATCTCAACCTTGGCGAATATCCAGCCCCTTAGGAGAAATGCATCATGGAGTTTCTTACATATCAGAAGTGGGTTGAATCACCATGTTTCTCTAGCAACTGCAAACATTCAACAATTCCAAGCAATGCAAGAACTTGTTGACAGTAGCTGCTTTGGTCAACATATCAGCTGCATTCTCATCAGTATGAACATTTTGCAATAGTGTCTCACCATAAGCAGACTGGGGAGAAAGGTGTTGGATCATTAAAGTCTGTAATTATGGTGCAGAGTGACAATTCAGATTACAGTGATGGCGATATGTTTTCAGTTTCAACAACTCAGTTTACGGATGTATGAGTATGGATTCTTGATTCAGTATGCTCTTATCACATAACACCTAACAATGAGTGGTTTGCTTCATACAAATCAACTAATTCTGACACAGTTTATCTAGGTGATGATAGATGTTGCAATATTGTTGGTATTGGAGAAGTCATAATTACGATGTATTATGACACAATTAGAACACTATGTGATGTCAAACATATTTCATATCTGAAGAAGAATTTGATTTTATTGGCCGTTTTACATTGAAATTGTTTCATTCTTAAGGCAGATGAGGATGGGGAAACCATCAGAATTGTTAAGGGTGCACTGACTGTGATGAAAGGAAAGTAATGCCTACAAACTGTTGTGGTGTGCAGTTGTAGGTGGAGTTCATTATGTGGAGTCATATGATAATAGTACAAAACTATGACATATGTGTTTTGGTTATCTCGGTGAACGTGGAATGACATGATTGCATAGAAGAAACCTATTGCATGATGTTAAAAACTGCATGCTCGATCTTTGTAAGTTATGTGTTCTTCGAAAACATAATAGAGTCAGTTTTATGACAGGAAAACATAAAACTGAATGAATTTTTTATTATGTGCATTCTGATGTATGAGGCGCTACCAGGGATTTTTCATTTGGAGGATCTTAGTATTTTGTCACATTTATTGATGATTTCTCCAAAAAAGTTTGGGTGTATTTCTTGAAACGAAAATTAGAAGTATTCTCTAAATTCAAGTTGTGGAAAGCTGAGGTGGAGAACCAAACTGACAGAAAGATCAAGTATTTGAAATCTGATAATGACACGGAGTACACAGATTCACAGTTTCAGAAGTTCTGTGAGGAGCATGAGATTCAGAGGCATTTTTCAGTGCGGAAAACACCAGAACAAAATGGTGCGGCAAAAGGATGAACAAGTCTTTAACTGAAAGGGCGAGATACTTGAGACTGAATGCAGATATTCCTAAAAGTTTATGGGCAGAGGTTGTGAATATGACATGTTGTATCATCAATAGATCACCTCGGACATCGTTGGGTGGCAATGTCGTAGAAGATGTATGGACAAAAAATCTAGTTAAGTTCGATCATTTACAAATTTTTTGTTATCCTGCTTGTGTGCATATACCTGGAGACAAAAGATCAAAACTTGATGCAAAATGTAAGAAGTGCATCTTCCTGGGCTGCAAGAAAGGTGTGAAAGGATACAAGTTTTGGGATCTGATTGCTAAGAAAATGGTGATCAACAGAGATGCAGTTTTTTATGAACAGTCCATATTGCAGCAAAATCAAGACAAGATGTGAGGGAACAGTTCCAGTTCAGATGTAGTGTAGGTGGGTTTAGGACAACATCCAGAAACAACTGAGATGGTTGAAGGTTCAAATCCAACACTTATTGATTTCATTTCAGATGATCTGCAGAATTATAATCTAGCCAGAGACAGATACGCACCAATATAATGTCTCATAGCAGATTGGGTTATAAATATTTGGTCTTATGTGCACTTCTCATCAACAACGATGATTCAACCACTTTTCAAGGAGCTATCACTAGCCAGGAGAAAGAGAAATGGATGGGTGCAATGGTTGAGGAGATGGAGTCTTTGCAAAAAAATTGCACATTGGAGCTAGTTAAGCTTCATAAGGAAAAGACGACTATTGGGTGCAAGTGGGTGTACAAAAGGAAACTTGCAGTATTAGAAAAAAAAGGGAAAAAGTTCAAGGCTCGACTGGTAGCAAAGGGATTTTCACAACAGAAGGGGATAAATTATGATGAAATATTTTCTCCTGTGGTCAGACATACTTCAATCAGGGCAGTGTTTGCATTAGTAACAATTTGAGATTTGCATACGAAGCATATGAATGTTAAAATTGCTTTTTTGCATGGTGATCTCAAGGAGTAAAATTACATGGAGCAGCCAAAAGGGTTCACTCAACCTTGACAGGAGCATCTGGTTTGCAGGTTAAAAAATAGTTGTATGGGTTGAAACAGTCTTCAAGATAATGATAGTGGTTTGACTCCTGCATGATTTAGATTGCTCACAAGAGATGTGAGTATGATTGTTGTGTTTATGTGAAGAGCCTTGATGATCATTCTGTTATTTTTTTGTTACTGTATGTTGATGATATACTGATTGCTGCAAATAATATGAATGATGTTTGTGGTTTGAAAGATTTATTGAGTCAAGAATTTAATATGAAAGACTTGGGTCCTACGAAGAAGATTCTTAGAATGGAAATTCATTGAGACAGAGACTCAAGACGATTATGTTTATCACAACGAGACTATGTTGAGAAAATATTGGACATGTTTGAGATGAGTAAAGCAAAGCCTGTAAACACTCATTTGACAAATCATTTTAAGATTTCTTCAGAACTGTGTCCTAAGACATACATAAATCGAAGACATGACAAAGGTTCCATATGTCAGTGCAGTTGGTCGCTTAATGTATGCAATGATATATACTCGTTCTGATCTGGCTCATGCTGCTAGTCAAGTCTGCAAATACATGACTAAACCTGAAACGCGACATTAGAAAGCAGTCAGGTGGATTTTCAGGTATCTGAAGGGTAATATAGGACATAAAATTATTTTTGACAGTCAACAGAATGATCATTCAGTTGTGGGGTATGTTGATTCAGACTATGCATGCGATTTGTATGACATAAAGTTCACAACTGGGTATATGTTTACTCTTGGTGGAGGGCTTATATGTTGGAAATCAACAAAATTTTGATGATGATGGAGACAAGTGACGATGATGATGAAAGCATCATTGGTTGGGCGACGGTGTCGAATGATGGTGGTTTACCCTGATAACGACAGTCGTGGGCATATGGAATGATCAAATGATGGTAAGAATGATCCAACGTTCTCAGTTGGGCTATAGTGGTTTTACATCGATAATGACCCGACCACTCCATCATATGACTCATAGTAATTTGTTTGAACATTTTTAACTTTATGAGTATTTGAATGCCTAGATGTTAGAATTAAAAAAAATATTGACTCGTTGATTTCATCTCGCCGGGACACATTAATTATAATATTTTCATATTTAGAAATCATTTAGTATCTTAAAGTACTTTTCAAAATTTTTAGTCATATTTTCAGTGGATGATCTGGACTCACTAAGATTAAGATCGAAACATTTTTATGTCATTTGGTATGTCCCACTAAGACAATTTGTTGAAGAAATATGATAAGACAATGTTGGGTATGCCAATTAATAGCCACTAGGAAAAAAAAACTAATGACTTATGTGTGAAAAACTTGAAAAAGAAAAATCACTTGTCTAAGCTTGGACAAAATGGTCCCACTATTCAGATGTATGTTACAAGGCTTTGTTTGTCCTTGATATAATTTAAAAAAAATATTATAATAGTAGAATAATTGACTTGATTTTCACTAGATAAAATATTGGGGAAGCGATGACAACTTGGTTGCAATGATGAAAGTGCTATTCATATAAATATATAATTTTAAATATATAATTTTGAATGTTATATATATAAATGCATAAGAATATTTTGAATTGTATGTAAATGTCCTTATTATTATGTGTTTATTATTAAAAATGTGATATCTATGCATCAAAATATTTGGATATCGAATTATTCTTAGGGCATTTTTACTATATATACATATATATATAGATGTAATATTTGTACATCACCTATTTGGATATCAAACTATTCTTAGTGCTTTTAATTCGCCTGCTTAATTCAGATTGTCATGTGAGACATGCATAGGGATCAGAACAACAAAAATCGCGAAGAAGAGGCAAGGGCAGAGACAGAGACAGAGAGAGATAGAGTGCACATAAACTTGTCCTGTAGAAGTGAATGATGTGTTAATGGGCTTTGCGACCCATTTTATATTTTGTAATTGGGGTTACTAAAAAGAAGACGAGAGAGTTTTCACTACAGAGGATAGATCTAGACACAAA